TCTCATCAAGCAATACAAATACAAGTGGTTCTACCTACTCACCTCTTCCCTAAATAGCTCAGGCACCTCCTTTTCTTAGGGCAGAGGAGATCCTTGCTAAGAGGTTTCCTACCTGTGAGTAGCTGAGCCACACTGCATACTTAGGGATGTTAAAATTGACTTCCCTATCCACACATAATTCCTCACCTGTGTGAGTTTCATTGGGAAGAAATTAGCAAAGGCTTACCTTCCCTGCCTGCTAGAGATGTGGTACTACAAAGTTCAGAGTTGTAGAAACAACTGTCTTTGTTTCTATTAAGAGCCTCTCTGCCCACTAGATCAGCATTCTGACTATATAAGAGTAGATCACCTACATCACATGCCCATTACAATATTGATTCCAGCGGATGATCCTAGAGGTACAGCAAATTAGCCAAGGAGGACCAAGGGTAACAAATCTGTATTTGTGTGCATGTATGTATGTGTTGGATATGTGTACATGTGTGTATATACATATGAACATGTGGAGGACAGACGTCAAAGTCAGGTGTCTTCTTTAATTGCTTTCCACCTTAGTTTTTGAGGCAGAATCTCTCACTGAACCTAGAGCTTGCCAATTCCACTAGACTGGCTGGTCAGAGCACTCTAGAGATCCTCCTGTCTCTATCTTTCCAGTGCTGGGATTGTAGATACATACCACACCTTCTGGGGATCTGAACTTGGGTCTTTGTGCTTGCATAGCAAACACTCCACCGACTGAAGCTGTCTCCCCAGCCCAAAATCTATATTTTTAACAAACTCTGCAGATAGATGCTGCCAACCATGCTATTTTCATCTCTGCGTTCCCATGACCAACATGTTCCAGGGATGGTTCTTGGAAGAATGACTATTGTATTAGATGTGTATAAATGACCTCATGGCTAATGCATGGTAGAATTCATCCTAGAGCAAGTCCTCCAACATGGGCAGGAAAAGCTAAAGTCAGATTTCTTGGCAATGCTGGATTGAAGCTGTGTTTTCTGGCTGCCTCTGGTGTGGGTCTCACTAATGTCTACTACAATCTTGTATCATTGTCCTGACTTTGTTGGAGACAAATTCACAGAGAGGCCCCCACAGAAGGCAGCAGCATGGCCCTGCCTCCTACAGGTCTTTCTAGGAAGAAATTGTATGTAAATGATAGCTAGGGAACACTCTTTCTGAACACCCTGTTGTGCATCTACTACATTTGGCATTTTCCTATCAGAGAACAGAGGAGGCTCATTCAGTTGATAAGCAGACAGCCTTAAGTGGTGCTAAACTTAGAGTGGGGAGCAAGGATTCTAGTCCTACTTTAGGCCCTGCAGCCATGGGTAGCCACAGACAGGACTCATCCCCTACCTTACTGAGACTTGGAGGCACACCTATAAACCAAGGAGTGAACTGTAGAGGTTCAGCATTCCTTGTAAAACCCCATCATGAGCTTTGTGGGAGTGAGGGACATATGCACAGTGACCCATCTAGGTCTGACCAGCACATCCTCCAGATCCTGAGAAAGAAGACTGGAGATGAACACCAGTCTGAGCGAGGTTGATGATTCCCTTCCCGCAGACACTGCAGGCCTTGAGGTTTTATGTCCTTGTCAGAACAGGTGGTTAGTGGCTTTTAGTGAATGTCTCATATTTCCTTGTTACCCAAAAGAGAGTCAGAAACGAGTAGAATAAACAAACAAACGTCCTCAGGAATATCCCATAAGAATTGAGGTGGAGAAAAGTCATGCTTGAATTTAAGGCTCTAAAAACATTTGGCCAAATGTTCAGTTCCCCCGTGTGTTCAATGCTATGAATTTTCACATGAGCTCACAGTGTTCCCAGGACCCACCATTCCCCAGGTCCCTCACGTCCTCTACCTACAAGGAACGATTCCCAGCAGCAGATCTACACCTCAGTGTCCCAAACAGCTGCCACGTTGCTTAGTCTGGGGGACATCCAATTCCTCTCTCAGAAGAGAATCACACCTTCACTTCCTCTTTGAGGAAGCATGTCCTAAATTACACAGCCAAGGTCTTCAACCCAGGGGGAGTTTATTCTCTACAGGATCTGCCAAGAAAGAAAAATTATCAGATCTCAAACAATTATAGTTAAACAACTGTGCAAATCTCATTGAAATTCATGTGTTTCTACATGAAAACTGATTCCCACTGTCACTCTTAGATCAGGTGCCTTTAAGGAACACAGAAAATATTGGATTGTTCAAAATTTTCCCCAATGTTTTTCCTCTTCCTCCTCCTCCTCTTCTTCTTCCTCTTCCTCCTCCTCCTCCTCTGCCTCTTCTTCTTCTTCCTCTTCCTCTTCCTCTTTTTACTTTAACTTTGGTCTTATATGGGACACAATCACTGGGTCAGAAATTCTGCCCATTTACACAAACATGACATTTTGAACCCCCCAAGAGGCAGAAAGGAAGCCAAAATGTGATTACTCAGGCTCTAAAATTCTATCACACAGTGCTTCATCAAGGCAGCTAAAGGTATTAGACATTTCTGAACTTAAACATGCCTTCCAGGGATAGGGGGATGGCTCAGTGGGTAAGGCACTTGCTGAACAAGCATGAAGTCCAAATCTGAATCCTCAGAACCCTTGTAAATCTGGGCATGGTAGATTCACCTATTATCCCAGTGTTCCCACAGCAAGCTGAAACAGGAGCCTCCCCAGAAGCTCTTGGGCCAGCTAGCCTGGCTTACAGAGCAGCAAGTGACAAAGAGACCCTTGTTTCAAGCAAAGTAGGTGAGGACTATCACAGGAGGTTGTCATCTGAGTGACCTACACATACATCATACACACATATCACATGCACATGTATGTATACACTGTACACATACAAAGAGATAGAGAAACGCAGATTAGGTATAGGTAGATATACACACCTGCCGTGTTTCTTGGAGAAAGATTCACAAGAGGAACTTGTACACAGGGGCAAAGCAACATGCCCAGTTCCCTCCTCCATCGAGGTTCCCTCAGTCAGCATCAATATCAATCTTCCCTTCCCACTTCTTCTCCTCCTCATATTTGCTGTTGTTAGGAAGAATATGAAAACCGTATCCATGTTCCACCTGCCTATGAATAACTTCTAGGCGCATTTTCAAAGCTCATGAGGCAAGCAAGGCTTTCTCCTCATCTAAAACCCCTGACTAGAACTGGCCAAGTGACTTTGGACAGTAAGTTCATTTCTCTGAGCTTGCAACATAGCAACCCTGAGTCTGGACTGTACGTTAATATCATCTGAGACTTGGTTCCATTGATGCTGGTACATTTGGTTCATGGGTGACCCATTGTATTAGTTATTTTTCTGTTGCTGTGATAAGACACCATGACCAGGGAAACTTATAGAAGAGTTTATTTGAGCTTATGGTTCAAGGATAAGGGTCCATAATGGCAGGGAGGCATGGAGGAAGTAGGTGGCCAGAGGAGAAAGTTGAGTGTTCACATCTTCAAGCAGGCACAGGAAGCAAAGAGCAACAGGAATCTTACTACGCTTAAGAACTCTCAAAGCCCACCCCGAGTGACAAGCTTCCTCCAGCAGGGCCACACCTCCTAAAGGCTCCATTCACATCTTCAAGCAGGCACAGGAAGCAAAGAGCAACAGGAATCTTACTAGGCTTAAGAACTCTCAAAGCCCACCCCCAGTGACAAGCTTCCTCCAGCAGGGCCACACCTCCTAAAGGCTCCTTGATCCTCCCCAATAGCACCACAAACTGGAAACCAAGTGTCCAAATACTTGGAGCCTTTGGGGACATTCTTATTCAAAGCACCACACCCATGCATCTGTATTTGGATAGCCAAGATTCCTACCCACTGCTCTACATCCTGATCTTTCAAAATGAAGATCTTTGACTAGTCTTGCCTGTTCACCCATTTAAAATAAAGATACTTAGTTTACCTCAGACCTACTACTATCAGAATCTGCATTTAACCAAGGCCCCAGGTGATACACAGGTATATTACAGTAGAAAAAACACAACTCCAATTCTCCCCCTGTTAAAGGAGGGTCATAATGACCTGGTGCAGAGCTTTGCTTTCCATGATTTTCCCTGTGTAATCTCAGAAGGGACAGAGGAGAAGCTGCATATGCAGCATATCCGAGGATGTTGGCCTGTTGCACAAAGTGCTCTGTGACTTGGTGGGTGTGCAGGGGGTGGTAAAGTGTTCTATGATGTCACATCTGAAGAAGCTGAGTGTTAACAGGGAAAGAGCCATACAAAATGGTTCTAGAAATTTCATACTTTCCTTTGATCTCAGAAACAGTACCTCCTTCTAAATATTTAATAAAATTTGCCTCCTTTCTCACTCACGTTTTAATTTGATTTGGGGATTCTACATTCTCTCTACCTGGAAAACTGATTTGAGGAACTGTGTGAAGTATTTGCTACAGTAGGACTTAGGTAAGCCCAAGGCTTGAGTCTTGGACTCAGACAAGTTTGTCTGAAAGCATTACAACCCTATTTTTAACTTAATAATTTTCAAAAGATTTTTACTTCAATTTTTTAATTATGAGGATTTGTATATATGTATGTGAACACATTCACATAAGTGCAGGTGCCCATGAAGGCCAGAAGAGGGCATCAGATCCTCTGGAGCTGGAGTTGCAAGATCTGAGCTGCCTGATGTAGGTGCCAGGAATCAAACTCCTATCTTCTGCAAGAGCAATATGTGCTCAGAACTTCTGAGCCATCTCCACAGCCCCAGAAAACCTGTTTTCATGAAGTTGATCAGAGTATAGTCATGCATATTCATTTCCGTGTTTAATGCTGTATTCATGGTACAATAGTAGCTTAGTCATCACCTACACAGTTCTATGTACTACTATCCAGCCTTGCACAAATGAAGTTTGCTGACTGAACTTCTACCAACCATTAAATGAAAACAAGATTATGTCTTCTTTGATTGTCTGAGCTCATTTCTTTATTTGGTTACACAGAACAATCTAGCTCTAATCCCAATCATGCATAAGCAGCCATGTGGTCCTGTGGAGCACAGCACGGGGGCTAGGACAGATTCATCCAAATGTTCTGGGAACACATAGAAGTCAAGGGAGCATCTTCTTTGTACATTGAGAGCAATGTTTTTTCATCAAGTTGGAAACTGTTGCTTGAGCTTCTATTTAAACATCCCCTTCCTAAGAAAATACATTTCAAAAGAGTATTGGGAAGTTGCCTAGTAAGGAAATCATGAGTTAAATGTAGAAACAAGACTTCCAATCAAAGTTTTTTTTTTTTTTTTTTTAAAAAAAAAAAAAAAGCAGTGAACTCAGCTTTGTGCAAGAGAAAGTCAAACTCATTTGCTGCTAGGTTATTTGTTTTTTTATTTTATACATATAAGCATATTGCCTGCACATGGATAAGTGCACCCATGTCATGCAAAGCCTGTGGAGGTCAGAAGGAGTCAGATTCCCTCAGAAATGGAGAAACAGGCAGTTGTTAGCCACCATGTGGGTCCTGGGAATTGAACCCAGATCCTCTGCAAGAGCAGTCGGTGCTCTTAACCACTGAGCCATCTCTCCAGCCCCACTACCAGGTTCTTTCAAGCAAGAAATTCCCGCTTTGGGGAAAATTGCAGGCACTTAGTATATAGACATGAAGCCAATTTTGGACACTATCAAAAATTTCCTGGGGCTGGAGAGATGGCTCAGCGCTTAAGAACACTGGTTGTTCTTGCAGAAGACACAGGCTCGAATCCCAGCACCCACATGGCAGCTAACTACTGTCCATAACTCCCATCCCAGGGGATCTGATGGCCTCTTCTGTCATCTGCAGGTGTTGCATGACACAAGTGCACTTACCTACATGCAGGCAATACATGCATACACATATAATAATAATAATAAAATATTTTTTAAAAATTTCCTGAAACAAAAGCATTTGTTCTCCATATTTTTTTCTCATTATGGTGCTATCGAGAAATCTGGAGTCTCATAAAGATTTGATCTCTACTGTCTGTCTGTGAATAAGTCACTGCTAATTATGGGACCAGAATGTTCTGCACAATAGGACTTCTATAATAGAGGAGATAGATACAGGTAGGCACAAAGAATCGTTCCCAAACTTGGTTTCTTGAAATGAGACTCTTTTGGTTAGATGTAGTATTTGTAAATTTAATTTAAATATGTGTCTTTCCTAATCCTTTGGGTCCACCTCTCTCTCTCTCCCTCTCTCTCTCTCTCTCTCTCCCCCCCCGCTATTTCTTCCAGTAGGTACTTATAAAGCCAAGCACTGAGTCATTAGAGGGAGGGTCTAGTAGTGTCCTGACTAGCAGCTGGTTTGAAATGACATCTACTAATGACATCTACTAATGAACTGCTACATGACCTTATGAATAAAGGGTGTTTCTAGTCTGCAGTAGAGATAAATAGTAAACATTCAAGAACAAATGACAGGAAGGAAGAAAGGAAGAAGAAAAGGAAGGAAGGAAGGAAGGAAGGAAGGAAGGAAGGAAGGAAGGAAGAAAGGGAGAGAGAGAAAGCTGAAAATGAAAAGGGAAAGAAAAAGATACTTGAAGTCTTAGGTCTAACAGATTGTTCAAATTATATTCTTGTCGGTTCATTTCGCAAGTTTTTATCAAAGTGGAAAACGAGAGGTCTTTGCAGAATCTGTGCACTGTTTTTGTTGTTGGTTTATTCTCTCTGGTCTGGGGCTGTGTTGGCTCAGCTGTGGGTCTCTGGCATAAGAAAATTGAAACATGGCTGAATCTGCCTTCAGAGAATGGTGGTTTACAAACTTGAGGTCGCTTCATAGAAATAATCATGCTGTTGTGTTCAATCATGGCAGAGAAGCAGATTGTATTTCCAAAGGATTTTGGTGGGGTTTTCTTTTGAATGTTTTGGAATTTCTTATAAACAGAATCACCTTGGTGGTTCTGACTGAACTGACCAGTAATGAGCTTTGCTGTGAGTGAATCTGATGTCAGGAGATTGCAAGAGAAGTAACAGATGTAAGGATCTCTGTTTACAAGAATGGTGCTTTTTGCTTCAGCCACTACATGACTGTTACCAGAAAGGCTCACCTTGTCTTTCTCTGAATATTTACAGGAAGTTTCTGGAAATCATTTTGCAGATTCCACACATGACAAGAGTTTCCCAGGGGCCATAGAAAAGGGATTTAGGGATGAAATTGGTCTGTTCATCAGGGATGGGAAAGAATTCCAGGCTCTTCATATGCTTTATGAATTAATATCTATGTGCATTGCCCTCTTAAGACAGTGCTGAGCCACGCTGCCTTGGAAGTCCCAGGCAAAAATACTCAGAGGCTCCCTTAATTTTTGGCTATAACCATCTTCTACTTTACTTCTAAATTTGAAGCCTTAGGTAATGATAGTTTTTAAGTTTTATTTGCCATCTTCCAGATTTTGCATTAGATATAGCCAAGGCCATAAACCTCACTAAGGGCCAGCACTGTGCAAGCACTATATAGCCAGCATCTGAGCATGCTGCCTCTGAGCCCTCATCCTGTAATCCCCACTCAGTTATTATACTGTAGCCAAAGAAGTTTCCAGTTCTACTCTCTTGGGGAAACCCAGTTGGGATCAATCCAATGTCAGAGTCTGGGCAGTGACTGTCCTTTCTTCATGAGTCCCAAAAGGAAGCCAAAGCATTAGCCTTAATTCCAATGATGTTGTAGCCCATCATAATAAGTGAAATGTGTTGTTAGATGTTTTGCTATTTGCAGTGATCTTTGACTAATCTTCCTTCATCCTTGCAGTGATCTTAGGAATGAGGTATAATCATCTCTATTTTACTAAGCAGGAAGTCCACAGAAGCTAAGCATTCTCCCTGGGGTTTCACATCTATGCAAAGAGGTAGGATTCAAATCCAGATCCTCTGATCTCAAAGGCTGTTCATGGGTTAACCAGGAGTTGGACTGCAGTGAAGAAGCTGTGTAGTGGCAAGAAAGTAGAAAGGAAAAGCAAGGGGCTAGAGGGGGCGGGAGATGAGTCCACAGGAAGTAGAGGAGACACATCATTCGTCTAAGATCATGTTTCTGCACAGTTCATCAGGGAGCCCAAGGTGGGAACTCAGGGCAGGAACCTGGAAGCAGGAGCTGGAGCACAGGCCACGGAGGAATGTTGCTTACTGGCTTGCTCCCCTGGCCCCTGCTCAGCTTGCTCTCTTATCCAACACAGGCCCACCTGCCCAGGGGTGGCACTACCCACAGTGGGCTGGGCCCTCCCACATCACTCAACAATCAAGAAAATGCCCCACAGACATGGCCACAGGCCAGTCCAATGGAGTCAATTCCTCAATTGAGGCTGCTTCAACCCAGGTGTGTTGACACTAAAGCTATCCAGCACATCATTGAAACAAAAGTACAGAAAATAAATCAGAAGTTTGAGCCAACTTCCTTAGAATTCACCCTTTCTGTTTCTTGACATTCCTTACAATGCCTTTTGCAAGATAAGTTGAAAGCAAGACAAGAGAGTCTTCTATCACTCCCTCTTTAAAGCTCCTTTTACATTTTTTATTTTTATTTTATGTGTATGAGTGGTTTGCCTGCATGTATGTAAGCATGTATGCACCTGTGTCATGCTATGCAATGCCCACAAAGGCTAGAAGAGGGCATCACATACCCTAGAACTGGATGGTTGTTAGCCACCATATGGGTGCTGGGAACCAACCTGGGTCCTCTGCAAGAGCAACCAATGCTCTTAACTGCTGAGCCATCTGCCCAACCCACTCTATGTAGCTCTTCTTGCATAGAACAGAATGGGTCAGAGAGTAGACAGATTAGGCTTTGCGGGCCAGCAGTCTGTCACAATTACTCAGCTCTGTTGTCGTGCTGTGAAAAAGTCATACACAATCCATAAACAAATGAATGTGGCTGTGTTCCCACAAAATTTATGTGCAAAACAACAGCCAGCTGGAGACCACGGTTCATCGGACCCCGCCTGCCTTAGGACAATGGCTTCTTCCCTAGGCAGCACATTCAGTCACCTGAAGAAATATGAGACCACCCATACCAGCACCCCTGACCCTTCCTACAACCACTGTGCCTTTCTAAATTAGGGCATAGTACAAACTTCTTAAGCGTCCCATGGAATCTGAGCACGAAAGCAGGGTAGTGGACTTATACCCTAAAACCTAAAATAGTGCTTCTCAAAGTCTGAGAACAATCAGCAATATTAGCACCAATTGGTCAAAGACCAGATTCTCAAACCCCACTCTGGGTGCTTTAATAGGGCCTTCTGGTAGCCCCCAAACACTAGCAAGTTTGAGAACCACAAATCTAACTCCTTCAGAATAAGCCTGCAGCTTCATAACCCTCACTTAAACTTTCCTTGTGGGTGAACAGGCATACACAATGTTCTAAACTCAAGTCTAGAGCACTGAACCTAGCATTAAAAATTCTACACACGCTTCCCTTTGGGCATTTACTATATCTCCCTGAGCCTTGAGAATTTCATCTTTAAAGAGGGTGATGGGGCCAATGGGTAAAGCCACTTGCTGCCAGGCCAGGTGACCTGACTTCTATCTCTAAGACCTGGTGAACAGGCATACACAATGTTCTAAACTCAAGTCTAGAGCACTGAACCTAGCATTAAAAATTCTACACACGCTTCCCTTTGGGCATTTACTATATCTCCCTGAGCCTTGAGAATTTCATCTTTAAAGAGGGTGATGGGGCCAGTGGGTAAAGCCACTTGCTGCCAAGCCAGGTGACCTGACTTCTATCTCTAAGACCGACATGGTAGAAGGAGAGAACTTATTCATACAAGTTGATCTCTGACCTCCACATGTGCAGTGTGGCACATATATGCATGTGCAGGCACACACACACACACACACACACACACACGTAATAACATTTCTTTTAAAATGGGTAATACTAATTGCATATTCTTATGGTATAGTGATTAAAGAATTAAATGTATGTGAAAGCAGTTGTGACTAGGTAGACTCATGTCTAGCCCTTACTGCCACTGCAATGTAGTAGAAACCTTTATTGAGTGTAGCTTGATTCCTGGTTCTTGGTTCAAGAGACTGCAGTGCCCATGAGCATAATCTTTAAAATGTATACAAGACTTGGCTTTACCCTTTACTAAGAGCAGGATTCTTCTGTGGCTCTTCTCTCTGGAAGGTAACAAAGTCACAAAGGGAAGAAAGTAAGATCAGAGGGAAGTGCCTGTGTAGACAAGACAAACGGTGGATAGGGCACTGTGAATGCTGCAGGAGGAGTGAGAATTGGGCTTCAGAGGACTTGTTCAATCCATAAACTCTTACATGAAGCAGGGGAAATGAACTGTGAATCTTTCCAGGACATCTTTCCAGAAACCTCCAAACCTTAGTGGGTGGTACACCTTGATATATGTCACCTGTCAAGAAGTCATACCAATTACAATCACAAATGTGTCCAGACAGGACTAGATACCTTTATGAATAACATACATAATTTGCTCCTTTGACAAACTGCAGTGCTTTGGGGGCAGATTTATGGTCCTTACGTTTGACATCAAAGAGGATAAATATTAGACATAAAATATCCCTTAGAACCTCTTTCAGAATATCATGTACTGAAGGATCTTACAGTTTGATTCTTGAGTTCTTTTGAGTCGGCAACCAGGAAACAATCCAACCAAGATGCCTATTGGTTTAAAATAAAAGTCTTTCAGGAGTCAACTATCTTATAGAAACTCTTGAGTTATTTAGAGAAGTCTGTGCTATCAGCACCATCTGTAAAATTCTCTCATCGCTGTCTTCCTGTCTACCAAAATTACTGTTCTTTCAGTGTTGTGGTTCGTTTTCCTTCTCTTTTGGTTCATTTTCAGTTTTGTAGTAGGGAAAGGAGGGACAGAGAGAGATCTAACAACCCTTACCTTGACAGAGGTGCAGAAAAGCATTTAGAAATGCTCTCATGTCAATTGGATGTTACTTTTTATTAGCAAAATGCTCTAAAGCACTCACTGGTGGGTGCTGGGAAAGTTGAGGAGGTTAAAATGAGCCGTGACACATTGGAACTGCAGGTGCAGTACTAGGAGACCAGTGAGGAGGGATGGCACCCTGCTGCTCCCTTCCAGCCTTGCTGAAATTTCCTAATCCCAAAGGATCAGACCAGGCTGCCTTTCTCATGGCAGCCTGTTTGCTTCAGTACATCGATCTGTTGAAATATGAACCATGCAGGGTGTGAACTAGCTCAAAATATGCTGGTTTCCAGATGTTCTTTGATCCTCTCAAACAGAAAATGACCCTAAAGACTGTCCTGACCTGGTGGGTGCCAGGAATTGCTCACATTTCTATTCACAATCGAGGCAATAATTTTAAAGCTCCGTGGTCTTTCTCATGAGGCCATGTCTGGGTCTTGTCTAGGTCAGACATTACTTCCCATCATGAAAATTGTAGAATCTCACTGGATTGGACTGAAAAGTATTTGCCCGTCAGTGTTGATGTTTTGATTTTTTGCTCTTCTTAGGATGGAAAAATTTCCAGAAATAGGAGTGAAGGGACCTTTCATGACCTTCTGTGAAGGATTGGTTGTAGCATATCTATTTTTTCTTCACTAAAAATCTGCAAAGCAAGAAAAATAAATGTAAATATGTTTTAGGGAAAGTGAAAAAAATACAAAAGAGAAAAAATCATCACGCTTAGTGTTGCATTAACATTAGATTATAAAGTCTCATTCCCTGGAGGAGTAACAAAGAACTCTAGAATATTAAATAAATGGGGATTGTCAATGTTCAAACTAATGGGAGGTTCTTTTGATTATCTTTTATGGTATCTAGGTTAAATAGAGGTTGATAGAAGCCCTTATAAAGAATGATCTTCCAGGAGTTCTGAAAGGGAGTTAAATGTCTGTCACCAGAGAGATGTTATCATGAGGCAGAAAGAATTTCCACAGCATTCACACACAGATCTGCAGCCACCTAGCTCAGCCTGAGCCTTTAGATAGCACATTTCCTCCTCAATTCTTAAAAGCAAAATCAGGCAGCTCATCAGATGACTTTGATCTGGGTCCTCCTGAAAACCCTGACCTGTACGGGAAGTGATCTTAATATCTTACCTGTGATGTGCAATAGATAGCACCTCAAGGAGAGGTGCTTTGTCTAAATTAGCACCCTGGTTGAGGCTTGGGGACAGTAAGGACTTGAATTTGGCTAGGCTACTATTCACAACAGTGTGCTTAATTGGTCCCATTTTCCTTCTTCTTCTTAAGTCTCTCTCTCTCTCTCTCTCTCTCTCTCTCTCTCTCTCTCTCTCATGCTTGGTGCTTTCTGTGACCTCAAGGATACATGGTTAAGTATGAATATGTTTGCCTTTAAAGCAACCAACCCTGATTATCTACTGTATCTTTTTTATATATATATAATCTGCTTTCCCTGCATTGTACATGATTTACTGTCATTGCAATTGAGGTTCTTCATTAACAAAAATCATTCTTTAAAAGCAGAAATCACACTTTGATGATAATTTTTCACCGTGGGGTCAGAGATTTGGATCATCACAGCTTCTTTAGGAGAAAAATTTGCACTAAGATTACTAATCTGCTTCCGTATTTGGCTAAGAGCTGACAGGGACAGCAGACAATGCCAGTAAGTACTGCAATGATCTGGTTAGGCTCACAATGCCTGTAAGTACTGCAATGATCTGGTTAGGTTCACAATGCCAGCAAGTACTGCAATGGTCTGGTGGTTAGGCACAGCAGTAGCTAGCACCTAGCTGCTAGCACCATCTTTTTTAGACAGTGTAACTCCTGGCTTTCAGATCTTATAAGATCCGATCATTTATCTAGTTGGTCCTGGGATTTTCTGACCAACCATATCAGTAGCTTCTAAGCACTCTGTGATATCATTGAACTTTATCTAGGACAAAGTATACCTTGAAGAAATCATAGTGGTAAAGACCAGTCTCTGCTGAGACTTGAAAATGTGCCATGAATGAGCATGCATTCATTTCATTCTTGCAACTATCTACATGGAAGGTAGAGCAGTCTAGACATTTCACCAGTTTTAGAAATCTGCAGTAAAACCATGTGAACCGCCTCAAGGAGAGCCCAGCCAAGAGCTGACTTCCGTATGTATCACATGTCTGTGGCTGACTGAGGGACGAGTCACTGTGGGAGATGCTTCATGTTTTAGAAATGTTTTGACCCTAATAGTTAGTGGTTAGCCTTCTCTTTTCCCATTGCTCTCAACTGGAGCGAGAAATGCAACCATAGTCTCCCTTCTGGACGAGGCATTGCGCTCTCAGCATTGATCCCTCTGCATCAGCGAGTTAAATGCTGTTACCATGGGCACCATGTGAAAGAGGATTTTTTGGAAGTTTTCTTTCTAAATCACTCCCTTCCTAATACTTGCTGTCATTCGTATATCCACGCAATGTAACATATCTTTGACTACTCACTTGGGGCCTCTGGTAGTCAGTCAGGGCTACAACTTCAAGAATTTATTTCTAGGAAAAAAAAAAGTTGGATGTGAATATTTTGCAACTTAGAGTTACTACGTTCCTGGAATTCTGAGACCAAGAATGCATGAAAACAGATCAAGAGTGAAGCTCTTTGCAGGTCAAAAATAGTAAAATAAAAATGAGCAAGATATGAGTTTTTTGCCCTAAACTTTCTAAGACAAATGAACTACAGAAACTATAATCTGCATAACTTCTAAGTTTGCAAAGCTGTGACATTTCTAAGTTTTCCAAAAGATATAAGCTATGAGAAAGTTCTTATTTCTCTGTAACTTGGAGGGTACCCACCCAGTGATGTATAGGTGTCAGAAGGGTAAAGAGCTGGTCAGTGGCACCTGGGTTAGGGCAGAGCTGAACCACATTGTGAAGAAGCCTAAAACTCAGGGAAATAGAGAAATCTGTAATTGAAGAGGGGGGAATTGTTTAAATTGTGATGTAGTCACAGTATTGGGAAAATACCCCCTGAGCATGTAGCCTGCTTATCTGTGCTACTTCTCAGAGCAATACACCAACAAATTAAGAAAACTGTATCTCTCAATTACAAAGGACATAGAAATAAAAAGTAAAAACTCAAAGGGAAGGCATGAGACCAAAGTTTTAGAGGAAAGTGTGTATGCACACGAGAGAGAGAGAGAGAGAGAGAGAGAGAGAGTGAGTCAGGGTCTACGTAGGCCAGACTGGCCTCAAAAACTCTACACAGCTGAGGATGACTTTGAACTTGTGATTCTTGTGCCTCAACCTCAAGAATGCTGGTATTACAGGCATGCATCACCATGCTGGGTTCTTATAACACTGGGGCTTGAACCCAGGGCTTTGTACATACTAGGCAAGCACTCCACCAATTGAGCATCATCCCCAGCCTGCAAGTCTTCCTTTATACTCAATAAAATCATATCCATCCTGATTACCGCCATGGGTATGCATGTGCATGTATATGTAACATGTCTAAATGTGTAGATCACCATGTATATGGAGTCAAATAATAGTTCTTTATAAATAAGATTTCATAGTGCCATTTTCTTTAACTGAGCTACTGCATTACATTTTTGTCTTGCTTCAATTAAAAATATTAATAGTTTAATAAGTGGAGGGATAGAAGGCTCTGGTTTCTCTTTGTCCTCAATAAAAAAATGGTAATAGACTCACCACATGTGCACATATTTGCTACACAGGAACACTTAATGCATGTTTGAATTAAAGGTTTTACACTATATCCCTGGTAAATGTAACTAAACACTATTTGAATAGGTGTCTTTGGCCTCAACCTTCACAGGCATTTGGATGACAGTAAGGAAAATGCCACACTGATACATCTTCTGTCTTAGCTAGTCATTGTAAAAGGAGAGGAAAATCCTTTACAAAGGCACATTATTCAATGACAAAATAAACCAATGGGTAATATTTATTAACTATTTCCTCTCTCATAGGACCGCCCATAATAACACCTCTTACCCATTAGCTTGTTGTCCAGAGATGCTCTCCGAGGCATGCTGAAGACCATAATTGCATATTAGCTTGAATTCTGAATGTCTCCTAAAGTCTCGTGTGTTGAAACACTGGTCCCCAGTCCATGACACTACTGTGAGGCAGGGTCAATCGAAAGGAAACAGGGTCAATGGGGACACACACCCTTGAAGACCTTATGGAATCCAGCCCCTTACTCTGTGTCTTCTCTTCCTGGCCACCATGTGGTAAGCAGCCTCCTACATCATGCATTTCCCCCATGATGCACTGCACTATACTACAGGCCCAAAGCAACTTAGCCACGGGCTGAAACTTCTAAAATAAAGCAAAACAAATACGTTTTTCCTTATATGTGGTTCATCTCAGGTGTTCTTTTACAGTAACAAAGGCTAACTAATACACTATGTTAAAAGATATATCATAACTTTTAGCTTTTTATTAGATTTTATTTGACACCACTAAACAAAAATAACTGTTTATTTGTTTTGATTTATTTTGGTTGGTTGGTTGGTTTCTTTGTTAGCTCAGGCTAGCTTCAAACTCACAATGTTCCTGCTCTGCCTTTCCCTTTCCCGGGTGCTGAGAGTATAGGCTAAAGCCACCACACCTAGCTTGATAACTGGCCTTTAAACATGCAGATGAAAATACCTTTACTAATTGAACCTGATATGAAAACAGGAAAATGTGTTAGGAGGGTAAGAGTTATGGGGACATATGATTTCCTTGAGAAAGGTCCGAGCTCACAGACCTGTAGTTAAGGAAGAGTTAATAGTGAGTTAAGACTGATCGTGAGAATCAGTTCATGTACTACATTATAGAGCTGAATCAAAAATAAACCACGAAATGTAAAAATTGACTGGAATTTTAACTAACGACTGTCCATAACTCCAGTTCCAGGGGATCCGACAGCCTCTTCTGTCCTCCACAGGTATTGCATGACATGTGTACACTTACCTACATGCAGGCAACACATTCATACACATAAAATAAAAATAATGAATAAAACACTTTTTTAAAAATGCCTGGAATTTAATAACAAGACACTGATAATTTTGGTAGAATTGAAGTTGAGCCATATAACTATTTCTCAAAGTAGGATTCCCAGACCACCTGCATCAGAATCACTCAAATACTGTTAAAATACAGATTATGGGCCTCATTGTAGACATTCTGAGTCAAAATATGCCTTTTTCAAAAAACATCCCAGGTTCTGCTTCTCCTTGAAGTCTTATACGCATTACTCCAAAATGTGAGGATGTACTTTGAAGAACTTGATATACTTTATTCTAGTAGGTAGAAATACATATTTTTCATTATTTAATATGAAACATTGTTGAGGGTTGAAATGTGTTCTCCACCCCCAAAAACAATATTCCAAAGTCCTAAAACTCACTACTTATGATTGACATCATAGTTGAAAATAGGGTCTGCCTATGTAACTTTGCTAAGATGAGTTCATACTGGAGCAGGCTGGGCCCTAAATCTCACAGGAAGAAGAGAATTTGGACACAGAGACCCAGAGGAGACACACACAGAAGGAGAACACCAGGTGAGGACAGAAACAGAGATGGCAGGGATGCAGCTACATATAAAAAAGGATGCCAGGGGCTTGTCAACCACCACCAGACAGAAAAGAGACAAGCCGACCATCCCCTGGAAACCCATAGGCACTAACCTGACCAACACCTAAATGTGAAACTGTAGCCCCAATTCTGTGAGAGAATACATTTCTGACATTTTAAAATCACCAGTGTGGGAACAGGGAGATGACTCAGTTGGTACACTGTTTGCCTGGCAGGCATGAGGACTTGAGTTCAATCTCCAGAATCCATGTAAAAAAAGCCAGGCATGGTGGCATATACTTGTAATCCCCACACTGGGGAGATGGAAAGAGGGAGGTCTTGGTGTTCTCTGCTTGAGTCAGTCTGCCTAGCCTAATCATTGACTTTCAGGCCACTAAGACACCTTGTCTCAAAAAACAAGGTAGATGGTGCCCGAGGAACAACACCCAAGGTTGTCCACTGTCCTTTACATTGACATGCACACACACAGTATACTTGCACACACAAGAACATGTATACACACAAATAAATGAGTAAATAAACAAACAAACAAAAGGATCACCAGTGTGGTGTTACCACAGCCCCTCCTGCATCTCCAGCACAGCAGTCTTTGACTTACCATCAGCTCCCCATTCAATACTTTGAAGAGCAGTTGTCCCAGTGTGCACTTGATTTTGCCTGCCACTCTCCTAGAAAAGGCTTGAGGAATTTCATAATTCCCTGAATGGCCAATGTCACCCTGAAGTCTGAGGGTTTTAAAAATTAAGCTAGAAAACATATCTGAAAAAATCTCCTGCCCTGCCAAAACTAATTAAAAAGTGGGGAAGGCAGAGAATAAAGTAACGCAGAAGTGATCCCTGCCATTTCCCCCAGATTACATTTCCCCTATGTGGCAACGAGGTGTCTGTCACTCGGGGATCAGCCACTTATAGGGCAGGCCAAGTGAAGGTCATTTTGATTTTTATTGATTCTATGGCTCTGGCATTACTCATAAGGATTTGCAGTATTTAACCCACCAGGAGAAGCCATGAACTATAAATGGCTTCCCATTTGCCAGGAGAGCCTGCGTTTCATAAGTGACACCAGTTATGTGGTCTCTTTCACAGCTGTCTCTAATGAAAGCTTGTGACCTCGGCCTCTGCACAGAGGACATGGCCTCCCGCTTCATGGAGCTGATCTGTCCTTTGGCTCCAAATCAGCACACTGTTGTTTAGCTTACTAAGTCGGATAATCCACATACATGAGATAGGAAAAGCGGAGTTAGTAGACTCCTGCTGTTCATTTCATCTGTCAGTATCCTCCACGACCAAATCTGCGAGTGAGAAAATGAAAGTTGAAGAGCATGAAATAAGGAAAATAGGAAATTAAGGACAGGATTTGATGACTTGTGAAGGGTTCTCCCTCGTGAGACCAGAGGCCCCAGGCATAACGGAGGTGAGAGAAGCGTATTTGTTGAAGAATAAGTGAGTGAGCGGCTGTTGTTGAGAACTTGCTTATAAATAAAACACTGCAGCATTATTATTATCTTAACTTAAAGTTTTCATCCTCAGATTGGAATTAAGAAAGTTTTAAAAACATGACTGGTATTTGTTGATGGTGTTCCAGAAGCAACCACCTGTGAACCTATAAAATAGACCCTGAGGCTAAGTGGAGTCAGTCAGAAACATTGATCTCATTATTACTTAGAATGTAGATGTTTCATATATCACAGATTTTTGCATTCTTTTTTGGAATTTTTTTAAAGATTGCATGAAATTAGTATTTATCTTGATCCATTGCTGAGTCTATGGATGACCCCACTTAAATTTGATACCCCAAACAGGTGCTTCACTTAATTTTTTTTTTTTGGAAACTTAAAAATCTTTGTGGAGAGAAAATGTGAAGATTCAGATTTTAATTAAAAGTGAATTTTGAAGGTGAGGCCCCTTTGAACCAGGGAAGCCGGCTCCTGGATGAGCCCAAAA